CCCCCCCCCCCGCCGGGGCGCCCCCAAAAAAAAAAAAAAAAAAAAAAAAAACAAAAAAAAAAAACCGCTAGCCGGTCACGTGTCCCTCTGCGTGACGTCACTCCCGCCGTCCCGTTCTCCCCTGACGTCACTTCCGGGGCGTCGCGGCGCGTCCCCTCGACCTCGGCGATGGCGGCGCTGCGGGGCCTGCGGGGCCTCCCGGGGCTGCGGCTGCTCCCGGGCCCGGCGGGGCCCGGCCAGTATTCCCGGTGATCTCGCTGTCCCCGCTGTTCCCGGTGTCCTCGCTATTCCCGGTGATCCCGCTGCTCCCGGTCCCCGGTTCCACTCCCGGTCCCCGGTTCCACTCCCGGTCCCGGTGCCCCGGTTGCACTCCCGGTCCCGGTGCCCCCGGTTCCGTCCCCGGTTCCACTGCCGGTCCCGGTCCCCGGTTCCACTCCCGGTCCCCGGTTCCACTCCCGGTCCCGGTGCCCCGGTTCCGTCCCCGGTGTCCCGGTCCCACGTGTGCCCGGTTCCACTCCCGGTCCTGGTGTCCCGGTTCCACTCCCGGTGTCCCGGTTCCTCTCCCGGTCCTGGTGCCCCGGTTCCGTCCCCGGTGTCCCAGTCCCACGTGTGCCCGGTTCCACTCCCGGTCCCGGTGTCCCGGTTCCACTCCCGGTCCCGGTGCCCCGGTTGCACTCCCGGTTCCCGGTGTCCCGGTTCCACTCCCGGTTCCCGGTTCCACTCCCGTTCCCGGTGCCCGGTTCCAGTCCCGGTCCCGGTGTCCCCGGTTCCTGCCCCGGTTCTCCCGGTGCTCCCGTTCCACGCGGGTCCCCGGGAGCTGCTCCCGGCGTGCCCGCGGTGCCCTCTGCCCGCCCTTCGCGCTGCTCCCGGTGATCCCGGTAATGGCGCTGTTCCCGGTGTCCCCGCTGCTCCCGCTCCCAGTATTCCCGGTGATCTCGCTGTCCCCGCTGTTCCCGGTGTCCTCGCTATTCCCGGTGATCCCGCTGCTCCCATTCCCGGTGTTCCCATTCCCGGTGATCCCGGTGTCCCCGCTATTCCCGGTGATCCCGGTGCTCCCATTCCCGCTGTTCCCATTCCCGCTGATCCCGGTAATGGCGCTGTTCCCGGTGTCCCCGCTATTCCCGGTGTCCCCGCTGTTCCCGGTGATCCCGC